TTGTAATATCCACGTGTAGTCAGTCGAGACACAAAAAAAAGTCCATTTTAGTTAGACGTAAAAGCAGTAGTACTTCTTATCGCTACTTTTGTTTCAATTATTTTGTTTAAATTTTACGGCAACTTCGTATAAGATTTTTTTCTGTCGATCACATTTTAATCTAGTATATGTGGTTATTTATTTACTGATGGTAATCTTTAAATCAGTGCTGTCATTGCTGTTTTATAAAAAACAATAACGATGTACTCTACGCTTCTGTTCGCTTTCAAAAAGTGTGAGATAATTTTTTTTTCCATTAAAGTAACCTATGATTTTTTTCCTGCCGCATATTAGTAAACAATCTAGCGGCAGCAAATGGTTTGAAAAAAAAAATTCTGAAGCGTAGTTACTGAATAATATAACACAGATTACTAATGGAGTCCGTTGGCGGTTTTCACGTATGAAAGCAAATTTTTCATAGTTCTTTGCTTCACTTATTTAAGTATACGTGTCTGCGTAAATATTTGTGGTAATACTGTTTTGCATCCTATTTGAACGAAAAAGGGTGAAGTAAACATTTCTAAGGGAGTTTTTATTGTTAGGTGGATAGTTTTTGTTACTGTTGACGGATTTGCTGTACCGAATTTTTTTACTTTTTGCTGCGGAGTGCGGAATCTTAAATTTGAGACAAAGGATTGGAAAAATTAGTGTCTTAGCTTTAATTGCTTTGAAAGAAATGATCTAAAAAACCTAATTTTTTTTTTTTCAATTATCAGAAATTGTCTCGTAGTTGTTAAATACAGTTAGATATCTTAGAATAGGTTCGTAGATATTGAATAATAAGTTGAATAAAGAGGTGTTATGACTGTCAGTGATTTCTTTACTGTTTTTGACGGTCCATTGATTTCTATCCCGCTCTTCAAAGTTTATTTTTCCAGATACATCATAAGGAAAAAAGCAAAAGAAAGTTAGCAATAAATTTTGGAAACCAACCGTATTTCCTTGGCAAAGCCGTCAATGCATTCAGCCACTCCACAACCAAAAGGTGAAGCGATTTTATTTCACTATGCATCTGTATATAAGGAATATGGGGTAAATGATGAGGAACAGGGTAAATTGTAGAAATCAGAAATTTTTGGCTACAACTATCGGTCAGGTACTAGGGAAAAAAGGAAAAAGTTTTATGCGAGAAGTTTTTGCATTCAAAGACGGACATGTCTACTCAGTTTTTTGCGGGTTAAAGTTCGCTTTTTGAAAAAAGAAAAAAAATTTGTTTTTAAATATAAACTGAAGTTTTTAGTCATACCGTCCAAATGCTCATGGTGACCGTTTTCTGCAAAAGCAGTATATTTATGCAAAACAAGGTACTTTTCTTTCATGTGCAAATGTCTGGAAAACAGGAAAAGAAGCTCTCTACTGGCACATTCCCGATAGAGGCGCTTCATCTATTACATATGCTACTTTAGCCTGTTGACAGCTTTATTCGGCTTCTACTTTTTCAAAATATTTTTTCTTTTTCTCATTCGGTGAAAAAGAAGGGAGTAGAGTTTTTTGCTGCCTCTTTTTCAGTCATTTTTCTTCACAGCTTCAATGGAACTTTGTGACAGTAATTCTGTGTACTTGCAGGTTTTTCGCTGCGAGAAAAATTTAAAATTATATTGCGTTTGTTAAGCGGTAATTTAATGAAATGTTTCTACATTACAGGTAACACCTGATCGGCGCAATGGACCGAAAATTTTTGCAGTGGTCTGGCACGGGTCCAGCAGTGCTTCTAAGCACGATCTGGTTGGATCTGCTGCTATTGCACAAAATGGTTTAGATTTGCTATTTGATTTGTGACCTGGTAAGTCTGACTCCATCGAATTTGTCCAATACATAAATACGTAATCATTTGTATTGAATCTGCTTGTGAATTTTTTTTACTTTACGTTTTTTTTATCTCCTGTGAATATAGAATTAAAGGGCAATACAGAAAGCAGTATTTTCGCAAGTGCAAATCTCGTTCGTTTAGTATATTTGTCGGTTTAATTTATTCTGAGTTGTAGGCTATTTTTCTTACCAAGGGATATCCTGTTACAATATTTTCATCCTTTTTTTTTACAGCTTGGGTGCTAATGTAAATATGGAACAGCCAGGGACTGAGCTTACAAAAGTTCCACTCGCAATATTTGACCAAGGTAAAATATTAGTCTCTTCCTCACTCACGTTCTTTCCCATTATGCTCTATCTCTTTCTTTGTATTGTTTTTTTCCTTCTTGTTTTTAATGTGCCATGATTTGTCAGATTCAGTGTATCATTTGTGGTTCTTCAAAACTTTTACATATCTATTTCGTCGTTCAAATTACTAGCCATTTGAATTGGTTTCTATACTTTTAAATAATTTTTAGATCCCGATGGTACCTTGGATGTGAGTGAGGAAATGGAAGAAATAAGGGAGCTTTTTTACGATTTAATTAAAAATAAATTTCCGTCAGGTGTCACTGTAGAACATCTGGAGAAAGTATATAAAGAGAAGTAACATTTCAGTTTCCTAATACGTCATTCTTTTTTTTCTTTTCATAGTATTTTTGCATCTCAATTCAGTCTTCTGAATTTTATTTTGATTGCCGATAATGTTGACTGTTTAAATTCGAAATATTTGTTTAGCTATGAGCAGAATAAAACGGGGCCAGTTTTGCCCAGTGATTGGTTGGACCACATTCGTGTCGCTGACGAATTTGAAGTTGTTAACCGTGGCCCAATAATCATGGTTTATACCAGACAGCGTAATGCTCCATCTATCAGAATTGGTTCAGAACATTCTTTAAGTAAGCTGTTGCCTTAGGACTTATTTGGAATGTGAGGGGCACTTATTTTCTGTTTTGATTGTTTGATCCCTTTTGAAGAAAGTACACATGTAATATAATGGATTATAACGTTTTCACGCTTTGCTGAAAGAAAAATAAGGTAAGAAGTTGAGAAGATATGTAACAACATATATAATTAAACGAGTTCTAGAACTTGATGCATTCAGTCCAAAATTTCAGAAATATCCAAGAACTTGATGTTTTCTGAAAACAGAGTCTTAAGGATACGATTGACTGACAAAGAATTGGCACAACAGGTTTGTTTCAAAGTCATTTGAGCTTTGTTTTGGTTTGGATTTAGCATGCTCTGTGGTTTAAATATTCATCATCTACTATCTCTGTTTTGGTTCAGACCTTTTCCATTATAGTTTTTAATTTTAACAAGACAGTTCATCGATTTTTCACTTCTCATTTAAGCATAACTTCTTTTGTTACCGTTTACCATTACACTCCGACCAACTAATCCTATGATTTAAGATGAAGACTGTATCTGATTTGGAACCATTAAAATGTCCAAGTGTCCAAAATGTGGTTATAGTCCACTGCGTCAACACATCAAATGTTGTTGTGGTCCATTTGGCAAGCAAGCAGAACATTCTTTCAGAACTGCAAGGTTTGTTACAAAATTACTATGAGGAGAAAGCGTTGGGTGAGCTAGTTCCGGAACCTGAGGTTGGAGGAGTATATGCTATTAAAAATGAAGATAGTTTGTGGTGTCGTGGTTTGCTACAGGTACTGCTGTTTTTTTTTAATTTTTGTGCCATTTCATAACTGTAGTATATATTTTAAAGTTGGGTTTCATTGGAAGGAATTGCAGAGCGATGCTCTCGAAACTTTCGAGATTAATATCCCTCTTGTTTTTGATTATTTATTTTTTTTATTATTCTGAAACTGAAATAAAGCGAACTATAGCCAGAACTTTGTGAAGAAGTAGTTTTTATTTGGTTATTTTAAATAGAAGTCGTTCAAGTTGGGTCTTTTTATTTAGAATGTGAAGGAAGATTCTGCTAATTGTTTGCTAGTGGATTTTGGAAAGAAGCTTGTAGTAAAAAAATCTGACTTGCGTCGAATGCGGGCTGATTTCGTTCTTCCACGTAAATATCCTATTTGTGCCATTGACACTCATGTGGGTAATGATGAAGATTATCAGCTGTGTATAAAGTCAATGCAAGGTGATAGTAATATCGTGCAGGTAAGTATCTTTCTACATTGCCTACTTGATATTTCCGGCATCATTATTTTGATTTTATGGAGTAATAATCTTTCTTCTAATAACTACTTGTAGTGGAAATTTTTTAAGGAAACTATTTGGCAGTTTTGCCGGATCATTCATTCTCCTGCTTTGATGCATTTTACTTGCAGCTACGCTTCGTTGCATTTAACGGGGTGAATCGTATGTATAGTGTGCAGTGGATTGGACTGCCGTCTAATAAGGGATCGACAGTGGCCACGAATAATCAGTCAGTGAATATTTGCTAACTCTTATTATGTTCTATTATCATGATTGTTGCTTAGAAATCTTTAAGTATCTGCTTATTTTTTTTTTATTTCGTATTTAAACAAATTGCCAATTGCATTACAGGATGAATTTTTTGTTTCATTTTCGTCTCTTTACTTTTTATCTTCGAATTACCATTTAGAGTTCCACCGACACCCAGCATTTCAAATGCTCAGAAATTGTCAGCACCTGAAGAAAAAGTTGTTTTATCACCTATGGATCTCAGTGAAATGCCAAAGTCCAAATTCAGTGTACACATTCTCGCTGTACTAGATGCAGAAAACATCAGCTTCAGGCAGTGTTCCTTGGTAAGACTAGTCACCTTCATCCTATGATTTTTGAATGGGTGCAAGAATCTCTTATGAAGCATAAGTGTTGTAAAACTGTATACGCAGATGGTGTTGGATCTCTAAAAATTCACTCGTTCACGAAGATCGGTCGATTGAACGAACGAGTCATCCGTTTATAATCTGATGTTTCAATCTGATTTTATAGTTCCCATTTTTTCCGCTTGAATCATACCCTTGAACCTGACGAAGTCGTCGCTTGTTTTTTCCTCTTTCCGGCTTATTTTATGATCTTTTATTTATCGCTTATAGTTAAATAACTACGGAGATTCCTAATTTTTTGAAATCTTCTTGCTGTACTTTTTAGGCTTTTCACTAGTGACGTCTTGCCAGAAGTTTTTTTGACTAATACTTGATTAATTATTACTTTCGAGTTTTACTTTATATGATAAGTTTTTTTGATTTACTGTAAGTTAGGTTTGTCTTAAAATGGGATTTTTTGTATTTTTTACGGGTTCGATTTCGCCATACAGACGTTGTTACTCGGTTACATTTGAAGGGACTAACGTTTATTAACCGGATTACCACTAAGGATTCAAATCTTGTTTTGTATCTTTTTTTTGCACCGTTTTTTTTTTTTTTTTTATCCGCAGTATTGTCATCTGTCTTGTTAATAATGAAGTGAAAATTTTTTTCAAGACCATTACTGGATATTACGGCTGTTCAGGAGTTTTTGTCGAGATTTCTGTAATATTATTTAACGGGCTAGGTTCTCAGGTACTTAGCAATAGCTACACAGTTTATTGTATAGAGCATCTTTTAGGATCCAATACCTGATTATATATCGAGTGCAGTTCAAAGAGACTCATTAGGCCAATCATCACCACCCTCTGATGAAGATTTGATAGGCGGTAATTTTTTTACCGTTTATTTAAATTCAAGGTGGGAGCGAGTTCTGCTGTTAGGGAAAAGCAGCATTGACGAAAATTGTTTCCGCGTTTACGCCGTAGACCTCGGAATTTTTAGCGTTGCAAAGAAACATTTGTTTCGGTACATTCTTCTTCCTAAAGGTCTTCGCAAGATAATGATGGCGAAGTGTCAGGTGAGTTGGTGAATGTTATCGACTTCTCTATTGCCAGTTGCAGTTTTTTCTGATTTTATGGGTTTTATCTACCTTTTCAAACCAAGGCTTTTATTTACTGCACTTGCTGAAAAAATTCGTTAGTTATTCCCATTTGTGACTGTGCAATTGCTTTTGTGTCAATAGTGTAATATTGATTGTAGATTCATGGAATTAAACCAGCCGATGGAAGTGATGTTTGGAGTCGTGATTGTCAAAAAGTTTTAAGCGACGTTCTTTTTGATGCAAAAAACGTTGAAGTTGATCCTATAAAAGGCTGGAGTACATATACTGATGCAACTCTTCCGTCCGTTCCATTCGCTAGTGCTGTTATTTACGCAGATGGTGTCAATATTGCGGAGATGTTAGTTAAACGGGGTTTGGCTGCACTTGTATAAAACTTACATCTTTCTGTCAGATGTTCCAGGTTCATGACTCCCCAGCAGTTTTTTAAATTTGTTTATGCCTTGTTTAAACATTGATTGTGTTCATCCTTCTCTTTTAACGCAGTTTTTGTTTCATTCTTCAGTTCTTTCAGCTCAAAGAGCGTTTATTCATAACACTTTTGTAAATTCTTATTTTGTAATTTTTGTTTCAACTCCCTATTTATTTGTCTTCAATGAATTTCTTTGGTTGGCTGATTTTTGAAGTTATTCCTCCTAGTTTTATTTCTTCCAGTTTTCTCTGGCACACTTTTTTGTTTCTTAAAAATAGTAGTAATTTCGGCAACTTGCTCTCCAAATGTTTTCAATTTCGGGTTATATTTCATTCTTTTTTTCTTGTTGTTTATGGGGATAATAGCTTCAGAGTTGTGCTTACAATTAATTAATTTCAGAAGCCACGCATACTTTTCATTTGGATGACGTGTAATATGTAAAAATGCTTTACAGTTGCTCATTACCTGCATTGCCTTGTTAAATATCGATTACAGTAAACTTTTTTTAATTTTGATTCTGCTCCTAATTATATATTGGCTTTCATGTTCATGAGACTTGCTAGTATCTGTTGAAGATTTGCTGCTCAACATCGAGTAGTCTTTTCAAAAGGTTGTTAATTCAGTATAGGAAGGTTGTTTTTACACTTTGCTCTCCGTTTGCCTTGCATTTCGATGCACGTATTGTACTGCTCTAAAAATTAGTTTGTAGGGTAAGCCTAGCAATGAGGCTCAGGCCGGATGTTTGTCGGGCAGTGTTGCTCACTTCAATTGTGTGGATGTTGATTGATGTTGTAGTCCTTTTTTATATGCTTGAACCAGGCAGTACCAGGTTAGTACATCTTGTAGTCGAGCTGATTTGGTATCTGGTGTGGTGGTGGGTTGCTTTACGAAGTTGGTGGTTGTTTCTTACTACTGTTGGGATTTGTTCTTAAGTTATAGATTGGTACTTTTTGAAGCACATTTTAGGGCAGCTTCATCACCTGCCAGTATTTCAGGACCGCCGTTAGGTTACGCGGCGAGAGACTTCCTGATAGCTTCGGCCACCCTAGGACACTAGGAGATCCTGAAACACAGAAGGAACTCGATGACTTATTGAAAGGTACTCTGTATTGAAGGGCTCTGCTGGCATTGTTAACGAGTCTCTTCTCTAATTTCTTCCATTTTAGATCTGTCATTTTCAAGAGATGGTCCGGGTGAGATGGGGAGTCCGGTCGTGTTGGACGCATCGTATAAAGAGGAGAAGGACAGAAAGTTTAAATTAAATCAGTTCAATTTATTGGCTTCAGATATGATTTCTATTAACAGGACGTTGCCGGATTACCGAACAGGAAAGTAAACGTTTTTTTCATTATTTGTAGTTATTGTATTAAGGGTGTTGGGAAAGCTTTATCGTTTAAAGTTTATCTGTTTTCCAGTTTGTATTGGTTATTGTTTATTAGTAGCTACAACTTCAGATGTCGAGAGTCTGCGAATCGTTACAAAAATTATCCACTGCCAACAACTTCAATTATAATTGTGTTTCATAACGAAGCATGGAGTACTCTATTACGGACGCTACACTCAGTTGTGAACCGGAGTCCACTAGCCTTAATCAAAGAAATTATTTTAATTGATGATCTTTCTGACCGACGTGAGGTTTTTGACTTTTCTTTTCGTATCGGTTCAAAGTAATTTCGTTTTTTATTTTTGATTTTGCAGCGTACTTGCATAAACCACTTGACTTGTATATACAAAGATTTCAAATTCCTGTACACATAGTTCATTTACCAAAACGATCAGGACTTATTAGAGCTCGCTTAGAAGGCTCCAGTATTGCTAAAGGAAAAGTTCGTAACCACATTTTTATGTTTTCAGTGTACGGGTTGTTCTTAACAGTTTGTTCGATTCTTTTGTATTTCTACTAACTTTCACCTTTTACTAGGTACTATTGTTTTTGGATGCCCATGTTGAAGTTACTGAGGGTTGGCTTGAACCTTTGTTGTATCGGGTCGCAAAAGATCGGAAGAGAGTTGTTGCGCCTATAATAGATGTGATATCTGACGAAACCTTTGAGTATGTGACAGCTTCAGACACGACGTGGGGTGGTTTTAACTGGCATTTGAACTTCAGATGGTACCCGGTAGGTTTACACTTTTAATTCCTCTTACAGTTTTTAATTTCGCATTTATAAGAGTTATTGTTGAGGTTCCATCGCGCGAAATGGAAAGACGGAACCACGATCGTTCAGCCCCTATTCAGTTTGTTGATATTTGATTTTTATCTTTAAATGATTACAGTTCAATACTCCTGCTTTAGTTGTTGTTTAGTTTTTCCGTATTTTTTTGTCATTTATTTACTACTAAGTAGCGTTTTTAACGTTCTTTGATTTTTAGGAGGGTCTTTTTTTTTTTCGGGAGATTTTTTGATTTCTTTCGGCTCACTAACACTTGTGAAGATTAACTTTTGTTGTCTTTTCTACTACCTTACCATGTTCGGTTGTCGGACGTCAGGCTACAATCATTTTCATTGAGGATTAATTGGGAGGTGATTATCTGTGAGGGGTTCCAGAGAAATTACTTTTGTACTCACGTAGTTTCTGATAAGCCATTTAACTGTGTTTTTCGACGTATGTCACTTGTATAAGCGGTTGTTTGGACTTCATGCTTACAAGCACGCTGAATGCGTCCGGAGTGCAGTCTCTCCAGTTTTAAATTTTGATTCACTTACTGCTCAGTTTTTGAAATCTTCATATAAGATTTCCTCCATAGTTTCTTGACGACTACAGATTATAAATTTCATAGCATTACTAGAGGTATTAAATTGAAGCATGAATGATTCGGAAACTGTGAGCTTAAAACAGAAGTAGAATAAAGGGACCGAGAAGCTAAATGAAATTGGACGTATTGCTAATGTAACTTCTGTAGTATGTGCAACGAAGTGAGCTTTTTAATGCATTTTTTAATTTTATGGAATTGTGGTTATATACGACGCGCGACTTTAACCATTCTGAAAATTTTGTTTTACATATCATGAAGACCGAAATCTTGTATAGAGTTATTCGAATTGCAGAAATGTTTTACAGACTCGAAGGCAAGAAGATGTAGCCATAAGTACTTATTAGCTCATCGTTTTCAATAAGATTTGGTGACGAGGTACCAGTGCACCTTAGGTTGGGCTGTGTTGGGTTTATGTTTAAACATTGAAAGCATTCTAGGATTTCTTTAATTCTTTATCTGGGATAACTACCAAGAAAGAATTTTAATACACTGACACTTTGTTTTCAAAAGCACTTACGAAAGCATTAGAGTGTTATTATATTTAACAGAAACTTAGAAATTTGAATATCGGTTTGGTTCTCTTCGTCTAAGTATGTAACAAATTAAAATTTTTTCCATCAAGTTTACATAAAGCTGCCTATATTCTATAGCTTTAAAAAGTATTTTTGGTTTGATTATTATATATTTTAAGAACACCAACTATCGCTGGGGGCTTGTTCGCCGTTGATCGACAGTTTTTCTACGATATTGGTGCATACGATGAAGGCATGCAAGTTTGGGGAGGAGAAAATTTGGAAATTTCATTTAGAGTTTGTTTAGTCTGTTCATTTGTCTAGTACCATTGAACGCCTGATTTGTTGCCTCGTTCCTGGTCGGAGGTGTAGGCTTCTGTTTTTTTTTTTTTATTTCTTGGTGTTCTATTTTTCCAGGTGTGGATGTGTGGTGGCAGTTTGGAGATTCATCCATGCTCTCGAGTTGGTCATGTTTTCCGTAAAAAAACTCCCTACACCTTCCCTGGAGGCACTGCAAAAGTTATTCACCGTAATACAGCGAGAACTGCTGAAGTTTGGATGGATGAGTATAAGCAGTTCTTTTATAAAATGGTCCCAGGTGCCAAATGAGAAAGAATTTTCAAAAATATGGAATTTTTATATTTATCTTTTTATCTGTCGTACATACTGCTTTCTAGCTGCGAAAACGGTTGATCATGGTGATCTTACGGAACGGAAAGTGTTGAGAGAGAATCTGCAATGCCGTTCATTTAAATGGTATCTGGGTACAGTTTATCCAGAAGCTCCGATCCCAAAGGAATTCAAAAGCATAGGCGAGGTTGTTGTTTATTTGTAAATTTTTTTTAGGGAATGGTATGGACATTTTTTATGACAACTATTTTGTAGGTTAAAAACTTAGGTGCAGTGTTATGCTTGGATACTTTGGGTCGTCGAGAAAACGAGTTAGCTGGAATAACTCGTTGTCATGGAGATGGTGGAAACCAGGTCTAAATTGTTTATTGTTGGGAGTCAGTTTGCTTCACAGTGCTAGAAGATCATATGAAAACTATATTGCTCATTTTTTAATTTGCCCACTCGCAACTTCTCACTTCTTTTGTCTTTTCTTTGAATGATGATTAGTTTTTTTGGGTTATAAATCGTTACCTTTTAAGGCTTGGAGTTTAACCTTCGAAGGCGAAATCCGGTCTGACGAACTTTGCATTTCTTCCGGGTCAGGAGTTTCAGTGAAACTTGAAAAATGTTCTCCCGTTTCGGTAAATTTGGAACACCAGTTTGACTATGACAATCAGGTGGTCTACTTGAAATAAATTATTTTATATTATATTTTACAGTCTTAGTGTCGTTTCTCTTCTTATCTTTTATTCACGATTCTGGTTTTTACATTTGTTTACGCCTTCTTTACTGACTGTCTGAAAAAATAGTTTTGGGCTTGAAACGTTAAAAATCTTTACAGACGTTGCAATTACACCACCGAGCGTCTAATTTGTGCCTAGAAATTGTTAACGGTGTTTTGCAATTTTCAACTTGTTCTTTGGCTACCAAAACGCAAAAGTGGCAGCTAGAGGGATATACTGGATGAGGAGCAGATTCCATATTGTTAATATGTTCTTTTACGGTCTACTGCAGTAGTGATGGATGTTGCACGTAATTTTTTTTTTTTGCCTTAACCGGGCTACTATTTCTTTCATTCTTTGGGGTTATTTAGTTTCCCTAATTTATTCAATTTTCCTAGTTCATTGAGGAAAGTTTCGCATTGGTTGTGATTTTTTCTGATACCTAATATATCGTTGCTTATGTTGAGCTAAGTTGTCCTTTGTTATACGAGCGTGAAGTTCAGCTTCGAAGTTCAAGCAGGGATTTCTGCATTGCTAAGGATTTTGTAGAGAAAATTTTTATCTGGCTTGTTTCTGCCATAATTTTCGTGTGTTAAGCAATTGTGAAGAATTTTTTGTTTTCTTAATTTTGGCAAGGGGCAGGCATTTTGCTGTATTTTGCGTTCCAAGATTTATTTATGTTTAATATTGTTTTTGTACAGGCACAGCATTAATTTTTGGATTACGTCCTCGTGGTTCTTTCTGCAAAAGTCAGGTAACTTAAGCTTACTGCTTTTTGAATAATTTTTTCATCTGTTAATCCTTGTTGTTATCGCTCTTTTGCAATATTTTTTTCACAGTTAAAACCGCCTGATGAGAATTGTTTTGATCCTCTACTTCATGATCTATTCGTTTTTTTCTTCTATGCATTTTCTCGTCGTCTTTAGGTGTTTCGAAACACCTTTGTTTTAATAATTTCTGTTGTTAGTTCTTAAGTCAAGTGGTGGAAGTGTTGACTTTATAGGAAGGAAGTCAACAGTAAGTTATTTCTTAAAATAATTTTTTTTAATTGCACAAAAAATTAAATACAGTCATTGAAATATATTGTTTTCACGAAGAGCTCTCAGACTCCTGTTCTGGAATTGTTTTCTTGAAAAGATTTACATCAATTGGTTTTCTTTGCTCGTCGGATCGAGGAGTTGCTGTATTCTTATTCTGGTGACTGCTGACTATGGAATGAGATATTTAGGACTTGTTATTGTAGTCTATTTGATGTGATATTTTGGAATCAGCACTTCGGCATAATATAATAAGCAGCTTTGTTAACAAATAAAATCTTACAAATAAAATTTCTTTTTTTGGATGTTTTAGCGGTACTTTTTCAACAGTCGTTTGAAAGTTTGTTTTGGCAATGTATATGGAAGTCATTATAGTCCGGTGTCGGCGTAAAATGTCGCAATGTGATTTACACAGTGTATATGCTGCACTTTTTGACAAAGTGTTGTGGTGGTACGCGTCGTATTTTGCTGTCTTTTTTTGGTTCAGCAGTTGTGTGGTAGCCGGTTTTAGACTGAGTCTTTTTCAGGAGAAGAGTGAAGATGTTTACTAGATTTGAAACAAGTTTATACTGTTAAATATACAACTTAAAATCTCTGTGTAATGGCACGTTAGAGAAAAAGGTGTGGTTTTTTTTTTTTCTAAACCTCTAAATGCTGAGGGGAGGATATGGGAAATGTCCACCTCGTTGGTTGTCACTTTTTATTGTCTTGGCTTTATTTTGGCAAGGTCAGACTACTGTCGTTATGTGTCCACGGAAGCGTGCAGGATGAAGCGTATCAGAGAGACGGATCATAGCTTATTTTATATTAATTCAGTTACTACATTGTCTCCAAGGGAAAAGAAATATTTTTGTCTCAGATATGAGAACAGCAGCAAAAAACAATGGGAAGAAATTGTTTTGACGATATTACCTCCAACTGGGTCGTGTAACCACTGGATTAGATTTTACCAGTGATGGTCGAGCAGTGGTGCTGCAAAATGATGGAGTTTTACTAGACAGTTTGCTGCTTGAGGATGGCCTTGGTGAAGATGTTACGTTGATTGTTCTGCAGGTTGGACTGGCTTGTTGAGTCAATCGTGATCCAGCCATTGCTGAAGTATTGTTAGGTCGAACTGATGAATTCTTCTTGTCACTCAGAAGATGCTGATTATCACCTGGTTTTTGCAACAAACTCCTATTTGTCTTTTGCGACAAATTGGAAGTTGCCGGTTTTGATACTGCTGATCTATCGCCAGCAGGTGTATTGATCTTGGATCTTTGAATTTTAGGTACGCTTTTAATAGAAGCTGCCGATACTGTCGATGCTGTTATTTTGGCATCACGAATACGAGCAACTGTTGACTGAGCTGCTGGTTTTTGAGCGATGTTAGATGCTGCTGGTGAGCTACTGGGTTTGGCGAGAGACTTTGATTTGGATTTGTTTGCACTAGCGCTGGCGGAACTCACAGGACGGGTTTGGTCTACGGGTTTTGAGCGTACAGCTGGACTGACAGTAGATGACTTTTTTGTCGAAAGTTTGTCTGCAAAGTAGAACAACAATTACATGTATTTCTTTTTACTTTTTCGTTGATATGAAATCGTTTTGGTTAAATTTATACTGCATTTATCCACAATATAAAATGACCCGTTTAGTTGTTGTTAAAAGGTCAAAGAATATAAGTAGCGGCATTCTTTGCCCGTAAATCAAGAAGTATATCTGATTTCTCTACCAGATCTTGAAATACATAATTTTATTTTTTTACAGTGATCTTTTGCTTAATTTTTGAAATATCAAAGCTAATCGGGATTTATAATCGTCCTATGAGTGGAGAGAGAAGTTTGAGTCAGGTTATTATATAAATTGAAAAAGAATAGGAGCAAGAAAGAAAGGAAAATCACGTGGTAAGAATTCAGCTGCTAAGAAATTTTCGAGGCTTACATTACATTTTTGGTACATATTACTCTTTAATTTTGTTGCCAATTTTTTAGTAAAGTAAAAGATTATTTTTTAGGCATAACATCAACATGTTAATTTTTCAAAACTTTTTCACAATATTTTCAACAAGTATTCTCGTTCAAAAACCATTAGAGCGTAAATTAATCAAATTTTACGACTTATACTTAACACAATGGAGTAACAAAAAACTGCTCAGAGCAAAGAACATGTCTTTTTACGGGTAATTTTTTTACCAGAACGACCTTTTCTCCTAAAATTTTCAGCCATATATGCATTCAAAAGAGGTGATTTTCCAGCCAATTCCATTTCCGTAAGTGCTGTAGCAGACAAACCTTTAATTGCTGTTGGGCGTGCTGGTACAGGTGTATCTGGTAGAGTTGGCGCTACACTTTGTTCTTCTTTTGTCGACTGTAGACCACTGTAACTTGTATCTCTGCTTGTTTTCAACAAGGTTTGATAATTGGGAGCAAATATATGGCTTCGGGGTGCTGGGGTGGATCCTTTAGAATATTTAAGAAAATTAGCGCCTGTTTTGAGTTTTGAAATTGAGGTCGGTCTTTCTCTGTTAGTAGGAGAGAGTGGTCTTAGCTCTTCATATATATCTTTTGATTTCGGTGATCGGTAAATTGACTGTCTTACAACGTTCAAGGCTGCTCTTCCTTTTCCAGGCTCATAAAGAGGTCTTCTCAAAAGTTTTGCAAACGGCGCAGATTCGTAGGTCGTTTCGAAGCGTTTGGCTGCAATGGATCTTACAGAAGGCCTTCTAGGTCTTAAACGTGGTGATTGTGAAGGAATTTCTGGTCTTGAGGGTTTTTCTCCTGCTCCTGGTTTCAGCTGTTGCAAAGGTGGACTTGACAATTCCCTTTTAGGTTCTTTTGGTTGCTGTATTTCTAAAGTCGTCTTTCCTCTAGGTAGCCTTATTTTTTGTTCCGCATTTGGAACTGGTTTCTTTGGCGGTTCCGGTGACACAGAAACTTTCGAACTTTTATCTGACTCGAAACCTTCATCTGGGATTGTTTGAGACGGTGAAACTGAAGAAACAGAAGCAGTGTATACTATTACGTCTAGCGTTTGTTATTAAAGCTTTGTTAAAAGGCCAGAACTTATTCTCAAATTGATTTTGCGTCTTTTTACCCAAAATATCTATTATACTTAACTTATGAAAAAAATAGGCATTAAGAATTTGGTGCTTAAAAG